TGGAGAAACGTCTAAAACTGTTTTGGCAACAAGACGGTGCTCCGGCTCATAACGCATCTTCTGTTCTAAATTTTTTGCTGGGGGCTTTTAAAAATAATGTTATGGGGACATGGACTTCAGAAATCCAATGGCCTCCGCGTTCGCCTGACCTCACACCCTTAGACTTTTACTTTTGGGGTTACATTAAAAATTAAGTTTACAAAGAACTATTACAAAACATTGAAGAACTTAAAAATAAAATAACTCATGTTTGTCATAATATTTCAAAAGGTGTATTAAAAAAAGTAACCTCTAATGAGGTAAAAAAAAAGATTAGAGTTTTGTATGACATCAAATGGGCAACATTTTGAACATTTAATTAAATACAAAAACTAATTTACTTTTTTCTTTTTTTTGTACTTTGTTATATATTTCTGTTATCATATAAACGGTAACAAAGTAACATAATATTATTATCTCCGTTAAGTGTCTACCGCGGTTATAAAGGTGGTATCTACTAGTTTTTACTTTCCAAAGTTGAAATGTTGATTAGCAAATCTTGATGATGTAATGACGCGTTGGGACAAAAGTCAATACGCTTTAGTATGAATCGCGAGGTAAAATAAACTGGTTTTTATAAGCCCGAACGGCGACGAACAATGGTTATTTATTATATCTGATTATAATACGAAATGCGCTAACATCAAATTATTATTATATTTTATGTGATGACCGACGTAATAAAACTACTCGTCTTTGTTGAATCGAATGAAATTATTAAGAAATATAGACAAAAATTCAAATCTTTACAAAGTCATAAACAGCGAACAAATGGACGAAAATGAAAAATTCAATCGCTAACATTTTTTTAGATATTTTGTCTTTATATTTATGTAATTTAAAACATATGTTCCCATTTGAAAAAACGAGGTTCGTACTTCTTTAACGTATAAGGGTTGAAGATAAAATTTTTCGAAATATTGAAAAATGTAGTTAAATATGTACCTAAAATTTTAGAAGAAAAAAAATTCGCAAAATATTCATACTTTCAGAGAAAATGAGGTGTCTTACGTTAGTTGGATCACCCTGTATACAATACACTTCTACCTGGGTCCCTGAGATTGTCAGCTGGTCCTGTAGAAGTGGAGTCGAGCGAACACACACGATGCGGGATGGTAGTAGGCGGCGTTAAAGCGTGGTAAAAGTGCGTAAATCGGATGAGGGTTAAAATGGTTGTTAATCGCGGTTCGAGGACGGTCAAGTCTCAACTGGTTGTTGGGGTCAGCGCGAAGGCTCTTGCCCTGTGTGTTCGCTGTCTCTTCTACCTATTGTCTTATTAATAGATGTCCAGTAAGCGTATTTTAGGACGAGTGGTAACGGGGTGTCAAGTGTCCCCGTTACAGCTGCCCTTCCCCTATCGAGGTCTGACCTCAGACCTAAGTTAAATAAAAGTAAAAGTGATTGTTATGCGGGGAGTGGGGAGAAAAAGGAAACAAAAACAAAAAAAACATTACATGGTTTCCTGAAAATAAAGGTGCTCGTTATTGCTTATTGATGGCCACTCCTAAAAAACATCGACCTTTGGCTAATTTCGTCGACATCTATTTCCTAATTTCCCGGATTTTTGAATCCTTGAGGAAACATCCCTCTAAACAGTGATTATTCCTATCAGCGCCGTGACAGACTAAGGAATGATCAGCTCTGTCGTCGCTTTCTTGATCAAGCTCGGAGCTTTGAATTGGCCATCTGACTTCTCAAGGTCTCGGAATATGATAAGAGTGGCGGGCCTACTTATTGGCTGTTTAATATAATTTACTTGGCTATGCGTACGAATGAATTAGAAAATAGAGATAAAAGGTATTCTTATAGTATTGTAATGGATTACTGAATCCAGCCAAGTTTACGACATAACCGATTTCTCCTTGAATATTAATAATGTGCACGACCTAAATGAGTTATTCTATACTTTGTATGTAACCAAAAGGTAAACAACGTCATAAATTATAAAATCCAATTATAAATTGTAAAAACCAATTTATTTATGCAACTATAAGAAATCATATACTTTGTACAACTAAAGATTGTAAAAACACACAAACAAACACATTAAATATTGTATAAATCATCTATCCGACAATGTTCCGCAATTAACAGTGGACAGCTTAGCCATTCACCAACAACCCGGACTCGAGGATTAGCGATTGCACAACTGGGAAAAGGTCACCGATGCGGAGATGTGAAGGACTCCTACCACCCGACCCGGATGGCCATTTTGCGTAAATACCAGACGTTTCACCAGAGCGAGTCAGAAGTGTTCTGGCTGCGTATTATCTATGATATACCTGAAACAAAACACTCATTTTACTGTTTGTGTATTAAATTAATGCTTGTTATAATACATATCTTACTCTATTTTTGTGATTCAAAGTATTCATTTCATTTAAAAACTTCCAACTTCCTTCTTGAACTTTTGTGTACTAAGTCTCCAAAGGCCACAGACTTGAGAGAACTTTACAGTATAAACAAAATAAATGTTACGTTAACCTAATGTCATTGGGGAAAAAGTTGCCAAAAACCAATGACATTCACATATGTAGTTTACTTTAATTTATTATGCAAGCCATATGAAATGCGGGAGATTTCTATGTGTTGTAATATGACATACAAAAAAAAAATCTAAATGACAAATAATAATAATAACTAGTGTGCCTAATATGCTGACCATAGCTTAATCTCAGTGGTTCGTAAAATGTTAGACCCAGGGTTAACTACGCGTTCAAAAAAAGAAAACATGCAGTTCTGTTGACACAGGAAAAAAATAAAAATAAAACAAAATGAATACCACTCGGTGGTGTATTTTACTTGATGTTGCCGACTTGCGCTTGTCTGTGTCAACAGGGGATCTTAAAAATGTAGTATATTAATGTGTAATATTTTATCACCTATTGCTTATATCTAACATCCGATGAATTATTGCGCTAAGCGCACATACAAAAAAAAAATGAAGATTTACATTAGTATACATGTTGCCGTTAAAACGGCATTTTCAAAAGTTATAATAATAATATTGGCGTAAAATATGTTGGGCCTCCATCCTTTGGGCAATCGGCTAAAACTGAATAATCGTTAAATTGTGCGCTCAAGATCAAACATGCATATAAATATATATATATATACATATATATATATATTTTTACCCTTAATACTAATTGCATTGGTTTGTAAGTCCCTAGAGTGTAATATACCAATGTATGTTTTTACATTTAACAAAACTACCATATAATAATATTATGTGCTACAAAAGGATGGATAATAATAACAAAACCAAAGTAAAGAAACCTTGTTGTGTAATATTGTGAGCTACGTGTTATTTTCTATATAGTCCTAACGTCTCGGCTCGCTGTCCAGGGTTATGTGGGACTAGGTGGGAATTGCTTATCGCTGGGTTTATGTATGGGAGTCCTTTGTATGTAATATTTATGTGGGCGATTGGGTACTCTGTTTAGCAATGAGTGTTGTATAGAATTGTGCCTTTATTTATTTCATATCTATCGTTGATTGTGGACGGACCGTCGTGCTGGCACGTATCTGTAAGTATTTTATTTTATTTTATATATTACTCTAGAGTATCGAATGGTTTAACATATTTCAACATATTTTGGTTTAAATAGTAATTTAGCAATAGGCCGTTTAAATTATATAATAACATTATGTCTTTCGGACAAAAGTAAAATCGAACCTCGTGGTTTTAATTTCAATCGCATAAAATCGCGTTTTTGGTAAAATGAAGTTTTATAAATATTAAATTAAAGATTATAGTAGTGTCATCCTTGACTTAAAAAAAAAATGTTGGTTATAGATTGATTCATATAGTACTCAAAAACAAAGGAAGGTTGAATATCGCTAAACCTGAAATATGCCATGCCGTGTGAAATGTCCGTCTCATACGGGAAAATGTAATGAATCGCCGTTAAAATAAAAATTGTATATGCGTCTCCTACGCTAACAGTATAATAATTGTGCCATTGATAAGTATATAAATAATAGTCTCCGTCAACGGTATAAAGTGATAACATTGTCGCCGTGATATGTAATATTTCCGTCTTCGCGGTAAAATAATAATTGAGCCACAATAATTGTAGATATAAAATTTTGTCCGGCTGTGCGGTATAGTATAATAAATTGCCACGAATAATATCTAAAGAAAATGTCACTGCCTGTGCAGGGTAATATAATAAATTTGTCACGAAAAATGTATAAATAAAGTCTATCTGCCTTTGCAAGATAACGTAATCAATGAGCCACAATTAATATATATTGATAATGAAATCATCAATATATATTCCTAATTAAGACACAAAAATATTGATCATTCGATAGCCTATGCGTAGTACTACTATTTTATTCGAGAATCGATTGCTCTAATAGAATTGAGATTAGCTACTTCCCATTCTAAGAGACCGTTTGATATCAATTCCGAATCCTAATATGTGTCTTGTTCAGTGGCGTACTATCTGTAATATGTGGCGGTATAACGTATGGCGTAAATGGCAATTTTGGCAAGTATAACACAGTATAAACACAATGTGATTAGTTGGCAAAATTAAAATTGTAATATAGAGTTTCTAATTAAATTTATTTTTAGCAAACAGAAGAAGTTTCACAGTCCTCTGGTAACTCGTATTAATTTTTAACACCAGCACAACCGTCAGTTTCTGGTTAAGCGGAGTTGCCAATGATAACACTTTGATCAGGAGTGTTATCAACCCATCCGTGAGTTGAGTGTGCCTTGGTTCGACTAAGCCGTGTTACCAGTTTCATGTGACCTATCCAGTCTACCTAACAGTAACCTACCTATTTGTTATCGTTAGTTGTTGCTCTCGTGTTAGTCCGTTTTTTTTTATATTTGTCATGTTTGGCTTTTAAATAAAAAAAAAAAATTAATATATGTTTTTAATTATATATAGTTGCAGCGACGGTCCCGGGATGTACCTACCGATGCTTAGGTTTCCGAGTGAATCCTACTGAACTCTTGGAGCAAAGGATGGAATAATTGGGTTTTTGTTATCAGCCTAACGTTTATCCCTTTCAGTATCAGTTCTTCTATGATGACTCTGGCGCCGTACTCGGGTGTTATCTTATCCCTGCACATCCCTATCGGCGGGATGGTCAACCAGAACCAACCCTTTTCCAAGAGGTAAGAGGCCATTTGCCTAATAGCTTCCCTATAACTCTCCCTAGTGGGCTTCCCATTATATTTTTGCTTTGTTAGCAGGGTAATAATGGCTACGTTATCCCTAAACTGGATACATAAGCGACTCGAGATTCTATCTTCCCTAGTGGGCTTACCATAGTGCGACGAGAACTCTCATCGACGGTCATTCGTCGCATCTCGTCAAAGTCGGAGATCGCGCAATGCGCGAACACTCCTGACTCGCGGAAGTAATTGTTGATCATCCCAGCTTCTACCCTTAACTGGATACCGTTGAAAGGAAGTACCAAGCTGGCCATTGCTGTAATTAATATACGTAATAGTAGTAATTTAGTCACTTAAGTATAACAATAAGGCGTAATATGTACCCGAAAAATTGGCCTATTCCTGATTTATTTATATATATAACTAGCCTACTGGTAATAGAGAGTGGTAACGGTTTGCTGTAATTGTTATGTTATAATGGAGTGTCCCTATAGTCTACTCTTTGCCTATGTAATCGTCCTATTGTAACCTCAGGTTCGCCAAGGCAACACTGTATGAATTTTCGTCTTAAAAATTGTAATGCACAGTGTATAGCTATATACCCTATTATAGCCCCAACAATATAGAAGCCTATTTTATGATTGTTTAAGTCTCTATACACCTCGCTGAATTTAGAGTCTGCGTCAATCTGGGTTATTATGTCGTCTAACGATTTCGAATTTTTTGCTAGGTCATTTAGGTTATTTACCAGAGGTATAAGAGGAATGGACTTTGATAGGCTAACATTCCTAATCTGGGTTAATTTCCTTGAGATATCTATTGTTGTATTTAGAAGGTCTATTTTGGGAATGAAATCAGTATAAATATTCGTTTCGTGGGTAACAGCTGGGGACCTAAGTATATCGTTGGGTGTATGGACCTCACAATTTTCCCTAACAGTCAATAAGCCCTTGTTTATGAGTTCGATTGTATAGGTGTATGGGGTACAAATTATCGTTATATCCACTGGGGTTGGCGCTAGGTACAGCCATGCGCTCCTCCTCTCCAATTTATGAAAAATAGGGACCGTATTGAAACTATGTCTTATATCACAAGACGCGGGTATTTTGGTATCAGTCATGAATAGCAATGTTTCGCAAGTCCGAATTGGCCTCCGAAGAAATTGTTGGGGGTACTTGCAGATATATATATTTAATATGTGTTTACACTTGTGGTAGTCCTCCACATTCAGGGGTACAAAGGTGTCCCTATCAAGCCCTACTGCAAAGTAGTCTACCCTGGGCTGTATGAAGGTTAGTTGGGTATAGGAAAACCTGATCGGAAAAGGGGTGATATGATAAATTCTAAAAATTTGTTTTTGGCACAGAGGTATTTCTAAATTATAAATTAAACTTCTTTTTGTGAAAATTACTGACAAATTTGTTAGGGCGATGAAATCCATGATATTAGCTAGTTCTATGGTTGGTATTGGTAGTTGTATATTTTCGGGTAAATCTTTTTCAATAGATTTAAGCTGCTCTATTAAAAAACTAGTATTAAAAACATTGTGGTGCAGTTGTCCTAGCCTCGCTGTTGAGATAGCCGCGGTTAGATCTCTAGTTTCTAAATTGAATTCGGTGATTACGCTATTGAGGTTGGCTAAGTATCCTGAAATATCCTGTGATAGTAAGACCTCGTCCAATGCAATTAGAATTTAAAACAAAATTACACGTCGCCACAACCTGAGAGTTAGATCGATTAAAAGGCACAATTATGGGGTCGTATCCGCAATTTATTTCCTAAAGCAAAAATATTACCCGGGTCTCCTTTAGGTCAAAACAAACTTACGGAGAGCGGCGCCTCCACCAAATTGTAACGAGCCTGCTCGCCTAGGGGCTAATCCTAGACTGAACGGTCGCCGATGGGATCGAGTAAGTGGATTTCGGCTCGAGAACAGGAAGCTACCCCGTGTCTACACTTTAGTAAAACCCAAAGTTCCTTTTATATATTTATATGCACCGCACGAGGGGCTAAACGGACGGTCGTGCCTTTGACTGACGTAACTCTGAAGTATGCAACTATAACTATTTATTTGTAAGGTAAAACTAACTATACAGTATATATTTATACAATACATTTCTACCTGGGTCCCTGAGATTGTCAGCTGGTCCTGTAGAAGTGGAGTCGAGCGAACACACACGATGCGGGATGGTAATAGGCGGCGTTAAAGCGTGGTAAAAGTGCGTAAATCGGATGAGGGTTAAAATGGTTGTTAATCGCGGTTCGGGACGGTCAAGTCTCAACTGGTTGTTGGGGTCAGCGCGAAGGCTATTGTCCTGTGTGTTCGCTGTCTCCCCTACCTATTGTCTTATTGATAGATGTCCAGTAAGCGTATTTTAGGACGAGTGGTAACGGGGTGTCAAGTGTCCCCGTTACAACATTTTGCAAAATTCTTCAAATGCGCCACAAGGCATCTTTTCTGAATTATTTTTAATCTCATTCATTCTCTTAGTGGAAAAGAGTGACAAATCTTTGTATGTTCCCACAGCAGTGTTATTAAAGTATTTGTCTAAATAGGTTAAAGTTGTATCTAATGAATGAAAAACATTGTTTACCTTAAAGTTATTTAGTGGATCAGCAACATTTTCATCACTACTCAATTCGCCTGGCATCTTTTTCTTTCGTCTTGTGCAAACAACTTTAAACTTAGAAAATTCTAACTTTTTTTTGCTTTCAATAAATTCTTGTACTTCTTTTGTTAGATGTTGGAATATTGACTCATTTTGTCTTAAATGTGATGGTTATACTTTTGTACACACACATATATATATATATATATATATATATATATATATTTATCAGTGTACAGTTTGTCTCGCACTCTTAAAATAAGAAATATACAACTCACACAGAATTAAAATCAACATATTACTCATCCAATACCAATAAAGATAGTTAAATATAAAAATATTTTCACACCCTAACATAAATTCCCTACTTACCTAAAATATATTTGTGACACTGCTGTAAGCTGTTTCGTATAATATTATTATTATTATCTTATACTGTTCTAAGAATAATGTCTATAATTCGGTATATTGAATGTTTACAGTCCACATATCTATGAACTATTGGTACCTACTATGTACAGTACACACTCATAACATAACTATATTATTATTTAATCCTATAGGCTATAATAGTATGACTATACAAGTCACTCATCCACCATGACCACTCACCCACCGAGCCAATTTCAAAGGTGTATCGACGGATACACCTTTAGTATGGGATAGCCGCCACTGGCTTTCACGCTATTTATACGGCTCTACCACCTTGTTTGAGTATTATATTAGTTGAAGTATTATCAGTATCTAAAATGTCTGGTGTATTATTTAAATTTAAAGGACTTGATTTTTTTGGATTTTCAGTATTTTCATTTTTAGTTACAGTTAAAAATTTGTTCATGGTACCCCGGATGTTTCTTCATCGACTCCTCAGCTTTTCGTTTTTTTTTTGTTAAACGTTTCCTGGCTCATATTTCCCAAATTTTTCACGTTCTCGACTTACCATTTTTTCTTAGTTTCGATAATAACCAGAACAAGTCGACGGAGCCTATCAATTATCAATTTACCAATTATTATCAAAGAAAAAACTCACAATTCGCTGAAGAAACAAGAAATGCCGATTAGCTTACGAGAAGCACTAGGAAACCAATTATTATAAAAAAAAATATATATATATATATTTATTTAGATATTCATATATTATACAAGGTATAAATATCGATATGTATATTATACGGAGTAAAAAGTTTTTTTAAAAATATGAAACTGACATATTCATATTGTTGGTCATTTTGTTTTTGTTTAGCAGCCTTGTTGTTGAATCAACATTCCTGTAATAAAAAAAACACATATTAACTATTTTGTTTTAATACAAATGTATACCCGGTGATTTATTTAATGCCCAACGCTGGTTTAGTCCAAAAAAATTGGAATTTTGTAGTTTTTTTTTTTGAAAACCTAATCGCTTTTGTCGTATACACGATAATAGACAATATTCAAATTTTTAATTTTTTACTTTGACGCCGAGCTGAGCTCAATTATGTTAGCTTTTTTTCTGTCTATCCACTGCAACTTTTTTAATAACAGATCAATTTCTTCGAGTAGCAAATTTATAAATCACAAGTTTTATCTATTTGTTACTTCGTCCTTAAAATCGGGGGGGGGGGGAACTATATGAATTTTCAATTTTGACTAGCTATAATTTCGAGAAAAAAGGTCGGATCAAGTTGAAATTTGAAAGAAATAATTTTTTGGTGTATCTCCCCAATACGACAATAGTCTCAATTTTAAATTTTACAAACCCCCCCTCCCCACCTAAGCGGTCTATACGATTTCGGTGCTTCTTTGCCGAAAGCCATTTTTACTTACCGTCCCCATCTCCGCCGTTTTTTTCTCCTTTTATTTTGATTTGAAACAAACGCATACATTTCTTTTTTAGAATGGTGTTAGGCAGCTGCTAGTTATAATAGACATCTCACTTTAAACCATTAAAACAAATTTACTACAGATTTTTGAGAAAATTGTATATGTTATAGTTTCATTTTATATCTACCTTTGGTCTAATTTTCAGATCTAAATCTCTAAAACTTTGCTTGAAAAAGTGAAATAAAGAAACAATTCTATCCCTTCTAAGGGAAATGGTTTATGATATTTATTTGGTTTGTTAATGTTTATCGATAGTACTATGTTTGAAGAACAATTTATATAAATTTGGAACATTTTCGACTATTTTTAAAAAAGTTATAGAGCATCGTAGTTTTAAGTTGAAAAATTTGTAAATTTTTCGGGTAAACTTTTTTAAATTTTTGGCCCAATAAAGTACCTTCCAGGTATGATTTCTGATCTATAGACTTGCTACACGAAGAAATCGGTTCAGCGGTTTACGAGATATCTTGGGTCCAGACACAAAAATAAAAACACATCATTGTAAAAACAATACCTTCTCAGCCCGCATCGAAGCTAAAAACTAAACATTTTCTCATGCCTATAATAAACTAATATGCCATCGCAGTTTAAGATCGCCGATATCGACTTAAGAGGCCGTCCGGCGGTGGACGTCTACCTGAGCTGCCGATGGGTGTACTTCCCCCCGGCGATTGCAAAATGCGCCCAAGGCATAGGTTAACACAAAATCATATATGTAAACTGCACCCGACTTTTTATCGAGTGTAAAAAGGTTACATGTAAACTGCGCCCAAGTTCTTACCAAGTGGAAAAAAGTGACATGTCAACTGCAATAAAAACTTTGTAATTTTTCATATTCTTGTTTTGTTTTAGAACTTTAAAATTAAAAAGGTTCATTTAAGTTATTTAATTTTATGTATGTTTCTATTTGAATTTGTTTTGACTTTTTTATAAGCATAAAAATATTTGGATGAGTTGTATAAAAGGTAGTATTAAAGTGGGAATAGAAAGACTCGCATTTATTGGTGGTTAAAGTTGGCTATGCTGAAGCTTGAGCCCATATTTCAGGTGGATACTGAGCTCTTCACTTATATATACATCTACTAAATAATCCGCAAATCGTGTCACTCTTTCATCGTCGGACTTAGATTTCATTAAATAATTTACAAAAATCTCAGATAAACATTCTAGGCTTAAAAATCGTATACCATAGCATGAACTAACACCCTTCTAATATCACTGTTCTTATTTTTATAGTCAATACTCAAACCATTTTGTTGGATATTTCTATTCCACGATTGTTTTAGATGAAAGCGACATCCTCGTATCTTTAGTTTATCTGAGGCTAAACAGCATGGACATTGGTAATTTATGCAATTTGGTAATAGTGGTAGCAACCCTGAAATATTAATATTTCTGTGATTTTATTGATTCGAGCGCTGATTGCATTTCATACCGATGATAAGAAGCTGGGCGTAGTTTACATGTAACCTTTTTCTACTTGATAAAAACTCGGGTGCAGTTTACATATACCCTTTTTGAACCAAATTTATATCGGGGCGCAGTTTACCTAAAACAAGGCAGTTTACGCAAGTCCTTTCCCCGGCCCGTCGTAGTCTTTTTTTTTGCCGTAATACCTTTTTGTCTGATAACGATTACATATACCACACGCGTATGTCGATATCGGGGATGTTAAACTCTCTATAACTCCCAAACTTTTAAAGATTCGTAATCAGAACTATAGATTAAAAAAAATAATCGAAAAAAGGGTGCCCGGTAAAGTGAATTTGTTCCCAAAAAAAAAAAAAAAAAATGTACTTCCCCAAAATGTTAAAAATACGCAGCAGCCAATGTTAATACGAAAACTAAGTAGCGGCTGAGAATACTTTTCCTAAAAAAAAAAAAAAACGTTATTGCGCAATTTAACGAACATAAAGCTAGCTGAAACAAACGATTTCTATACTTACCACACGAAACTTCATAATTCAACAAAATTCACAATTAAATTCAAAAGTTAAAGAAATTCGCAACAAAATCGAAATATAATTATGTAAATGGTAAAATATAACAAAGCGGTTGCCGTTGCCAGGGATTTAACTAACAGTAGCCAGTGTTGCTACGCTATCTATCTAACTTATGAAATAAATTAAACTATCGATACAAACCCGAAACATTTCGCCCGCCTTGAAACAATTTTCAATAAACATATTTAAAAAACGTAAAAAATTCAAATAAATACTTAATAATAAATATTCATATTAAATAAAATAAATCAATACAATTTATTTATTTATTCGTATGACAATACGATAAATGGAACATAACAAACAAAATAATCATGACAATAACAACGTTTTCTTTCAAATGCCTTCAGAAGGAAAGATTAAAAATCTTTCATTTAATGTCATTATCAAATCGTCCAAGTACGGTATAAAAATAGTTTTATTTTTAATTTTAAATATTATTTTAAACGGTACATTTCTTCTATTTCTTTGACTGCTAGAAGTTCGAGACATTGTTGGTTCAACATTTATTTGCTTTTTTATATACATCGTTAATTTTTAAAAATAACATTTTCTCTTATGATATTCAACACATAAACTACATCGGTGTCTTGTTTAAGAGCGTTAAATATATTAATATTTTTACATTGTCAATATTTAGGTAAATTATTACTATTAGGTAAGTATATCTTAATAATTTACTAGACACCCAAACAGATATTAACAAACTGAAGTTACAATCACGATGTAGAATGCTATTAGTCCTCGGATTGAAGAATCCGTCCCAGAACATTCATTTTGCACTTCTTCTAATGCAGCAAGAATTGGTGGTACAAAATCTTTAACTGCCTCATGGCCAAATACCCAGCGAGTTTCACATTGAGATTTTATTTTTGTGCATTGTGCATTTTGTTTAATTTCTTGTGTTTTAATTTTATGGATTGTAGTTTGATTTGCCGAACAGTTAAAAATGAGCAACATTCACTAATAATTACACTAAAAGCATTTTAAAAATTTTGACGCATCTGATAAACAAAGATTTAATGTATGTGATGAACAGTGTGTATGATACACACTATTATGTAATGATAATAACAAATATTATATCTATAACTAGAATTACAATAGTTAAAGTAAAAGTTATATACAATAAAATAGTGTAAAAAGAAAAATTAGTAATTGTAAACTGATTAGAATTTAACTTTTCAATATCTACGGGTGATATTGAGATTTCTTCTAAATCAGTAATTTGAATATTATCACGTTTCGTTGATACGTTAAACAACTTGTCTATTATAGTTATTTCATTAGATAAAGGATACCTGGAGTTCGGAATGAAATCTGATAAAAGCGGCAGATGTTGGATATTTTGAAGTAATAGAATATCTATGTTGGAATAAGCTTTACAAGATTCGTGGATTTCAATGATCCCCACACCGGTATGGTGATGTGATCCGAGTCCGTTTTCGAAGAACAATTTATAAAAAATGTATCTAAAGCACAGTACTATATATATATATATATATATGTATATCACAGTAATGAACAGTAAAGTTTTCGTTATCATGCATTTTTATTACAGTAAAAGGACCAATCCAATTTTTATTCAGAGAATGTTTTATTGCATGGTTTCGTATAAGAACTTTATTATTATCGCCTACATGAATTGTTTGCGCATTGACTTTTCTATCACAGTACTGTTTGTTTTTCATAATATACATCAGCTATCATACAGCTGTATGATAGCTATCTTGTGCGTCTCTTGCATTTTCCTCTTTAGGTCGTATACATACATTTTATCATAGTTATACTAAGGTTCTACATCTTTTGAAATTGCTGAAGGAATTTGTGGCTTCCGCCCAAATACAAGTTCTAATGGGGTAAAGTTCGTAGTAGAATGAATCGTGTTATTATACCAATGCGTGGCATGGCATAATAACGTATCCCACGAAGCAGCCTTTTTTTGTCTATAAAGCTTCTAAGATTTTTTATGGTTTTGTGTGATCTCTCGAGTTGCCCGTTTGTCTCTGGGTGGTAAAAAGTAAAAACTCAGCCTGTTACGTTTCACTTTTTTGTTTTTCGGTTTTGTCAAACTCAGTTTTTGGATAACCCTGTGGATCCTAGGTCGTTAGAGTTAATAGGGTAAATAAATAACAATATACACGTAGTAGTGCTAATTCGAATTATTGTAGTATTTTATTTATTGCGGATTTTCTGGATATCGATGGCTGTACATATGCAATGCTTTAACAAATAGCGACGTGACGAGGCCTGAAGATCAAGAAAGTGCTTCCCAACAACGAAAAGTTAGATGCGAGTAAATTAGAAAAAATTATATTTTATTTGAAAGCATTTTTATCATAGACCGTAATACGGTAAGTTTGATCGTGAGATTTGTGAGTTATGCAAATAATATTTAATGTCATCTTTATGATGTATTCAACTGTGATTGGAGGAAACGGTAGTACATAATACAGAAAGATGTGGTTATTTGTGGTTACAGCCCGTAACTTACGGGATACCATTATACCAAAAGGCGTACGTACAGTACCTTTTATTCCATACAATTACGTTAAAATAAAGCCTCAGTTATGATATAATAAATGGCCGTGACAGTCATTGTTAACAAATATCATATCCTGAAATGCCTTGAACAATGTCTTCCCACACTGAAACGAAACATATAAAAATATATTATTTATAGTGTAAAACATGAATGAAGAGCTGTTGGGCGATTACTTTTATCGAAGTACTCTACGTAGCAGCCAAGATCACGTCTTTCAGTTTCAAACATTTCGCTCGACTTTGGACATTTTTCTTGACAAACATTAGTGCGATCCGAGAATTTCCACTTTGTATTCAGTGGATATATTTTATCTGTCTCCAAACTTAAATCGTACGATGAAAAATCGTGATCACACGTCATTCGTAAGCCCTGGAAACTCAAATATTATGATCTTTAAAATACCATACCACTATATTACTTATGGTGCACAAAGATTTAGAATCTAAGTATATGCTCCCTGGATACTTCGATAGAAGATAAAATTAGTATAAAATAATGTAGTAACACATGATATGTCATTGTAAACTAATATTTAAATTATCACCGACTTATTGTTCGTAGTAATAAAATTACAATAATAAATGTAATAAATTTGTTACAGATCAGCTATATATTCATTCATTCGCATCGCTAGTATATGCCCCGTATATGGTCATGGACCTAGAATTTGCCTGGGAAGGATATTTGCTGAATTGCAAATGCAAGTATTCATCGTCAAGGTATAGAAAAGTTTATGCTCACTAAATCGTTTAGTGTACGATATATAGTTCTAAATCAGAACTATACATAATAATTAGAACGTCTAACGTTCATACTATGTATAATTATTATTTTTTTATAGTTGATCAGATCGTACAAGTTGGGATATCATTACGAACCGTTGAAATACAATTCATGTACGTCCCGGATCCGCGAATTGAAATTTAAAATGACTAAAAGGTCTTAATGATAACTGATAAAATACGCTATTTTTGTATAATCATAATGATTAATAAATAGTTATATATTTTTTTACTTTTTTTTTTTTTAATTACCTGTGTTGTATAAGTTTGTTGCTCGTCGTCGTTCTTAGCTTTTGGCATACATTTCGTGTTAGTATCTTGATAGTCCGGGCCTTTATGATTCCAAATGCAGCAACACGTGTTTACATCACCCGAATCCAAAATTATTTGTTTAGAACGATTCAATTCATTTTGTCCATCTCTTTCTTTTAAACTACAGTTACTTTGGTATTTAATCGAGCGGAAGGCGAAATGGTCGTCGACCAACCCGTTGAACCACATAAATGTATTGTACGTTCCCCTTTCTTCTGGGTAAAGATATTTGAGTTTAATTTGTATTCCTGACTGTAGTGCTGTTATCGTGAAAGTAGTTCTAATACTTACTAGTTATTAAGCTATTACATCCGGAAATATCATAATCGTACCGACATTGTTGTTTTGTATTTTCTTTTGGACGTACACTGACCGTTTTATTTTCTAATAAAATATATTCATTTGACGTTTGTAATTCGTCGTTCTGTTTATGAGGTCTGCTGTAGCAGTACGCAAACACATGGTCCCATTGTTTTCCGATGTCGGCTGTGTTCAATATGGGTTGGATAATGTCGAATTGTCGTTCTTGGTTTTTAATAGACGTGTTTTTCTTCAATTTATCATCAATTTCCGTTGGTTTTGTTTTACAGTTTATTGGTGAACCCTTGTGGCTTTCAGAGAGTTTTGGATACTTTGACAGTCTAGTATTTAAATATTGCTTTGTTTTATCTAAATCAGACAGATTTTTAAACTGGTGTTCTCCATTTGATAATTCCATTTCCGGCAAACGGTATTTATTTTTCCAACATTTCACCATCTTTTTGTTGTTTTTATGGTAAAACGTCGTTCCTTTATGATTATTAATATTACCCGAATATTTTTCCGAATCATTAGAGCTATGAGGGGGGGACACATAATACATATTTTGTACTTGGTCAAAGTTCTGTTTTGGGTATTTAGTAGCCGACCATTTTGGACATGAATTGTTTATCATTTTACCATCACTAAATTTGTCGGTTTCAATTTGATGAATTCGTTTAACATAACTTGTATTGTTACCTTTTGAAATATCTTCAGTCAACTCGTTGTGTTTTGTTATTTCACTTGGAGTTCGTTCCGTATTTTCAACTGATGACGTTCCATGATAAATTTCGTTTTCTTTAGTCTTTTCAACGATTCCCTGCCGTTTGTTTCTCGGTTTTCTCGGTTTCCTTTTACTACGCTTATTCCCTGACATTTGTTGTCTATTTTGGATTCCTTCGACGTTATTATCGCCTATGTCGTATGATTTTCTAGACATGCTAGAAAACTGTCGAAATAATATCGCTCAAATTTGTATCTTATATTAAGTAGTAACTGAAAAGACACAACACAAAAATTAAAATTAACTTACACTATGGTTTTTAATAACACAATCCTGTTTTAGTGGTCCAGTAATATATTATCGGTTAACATTTGTATCATCAATAACTAATACATTGCATTATTGTCAATAGCTGTTGCTTAACAACAATATTTATTTCCTTACACAGTTTATAGTAAATACTTGTTGATTTTTCGTACAAATATTATATTTTCAATGACAATATGAAATGTGCTATTTTTTTTTTTGTTCTTTATTTGGTATATACAAGGGTCATCCCAAAAGTAAGTTTCCCTAATTTTTTAAAAAACGAAAAAAGCATTTACTTAAAAAAAATTACATCATTGGAAAGCTGAGGATCTAACCTATTTTTTAACGTAGTCGTCGAGTCGTTCCAGGCACTTGTTGAAGCGGAGTGGGAGTTTTTTGAGACCACCGTCAAACCACTGCGGGTCCAAATCACGTAGCCACTTGTCAACGGCGCTCTTGGCTTCCTCATCGTTACTGAATCGTTTACCGCCCAAAAACATTTTCATCGCCGGGAAAAGGTGGTAGTCACTCGGGGCGAGATCTGGGGAGTAGGGAGGATGAGGAAAAACATCCCAATCAAAACTGGTGAGGAGGTCCTGGGTCAAACGGGCCGAATGGGGCCTGGCGTTGTCATGAAAAAGGAGCACTTTTTTTTGTCAATAGTCCCGGTCGCTTTCGTTTTATCCGAGCTCTAAGTTTTTTCAAGACCTCGCAATACCTGTTGGAATTGATGGTCTCATCTATGGGGAGATAATCCACCAGTAGCACTCCTTTAGAGTCCCAAAACACGGTTGCCAATCGTACAATCTGTACAATTACAGGTATATTTGCTAATTTTACAGTAACATGTTAGACTTGAATAAGAAGCCGCCCACCGATGACACTTCATTTGTGCTATTTTAACTTGATAATTGCCAAGTATGTATTTTCTTAATTGCATTAATCGCAATCAGATTCATTATTCATTATATTTTGATTTTAACAAATGACCATTGACATAGGGATATGTCTTTTGGCTCCGTGGTCAATAGGAAAATTTGTGAGAGTGGCGCGATCTAGTGGTTGTTTTTTGAATGAAAAAACTGATAAATAAATATCTGACAAGATATGAGAGATAAGATAATTTAAAATATAAAATTTTTAAAATATTAAAATTAGTGGCTAATAATTAGAGGCTTTCAGTATTCTTCTGGAATCTTCATAAATAAAAATAAAAGAACTATACATACAATCGAGTAAATATATATATATATATATACATAAAAATTTAAAAATGTAGTTCTATTTCCAGTGAAGTAGCCCCATAGTTTTGTTAATAGCCATTATATGCAATATCCATTAAGATTTCTAACATTAATTAAGACAAACTAATAGTACCTGGCAAAAATGATAATAGCAGCCCTGATGCGTAGACTATACCAAAACTCCTTCAATTGTGTTTATTTGTGCTCTCTCATAATCCATAATAATAATAACATTATAATATTGCAAAGGTACAATGTTCCTAAATCCTGTACCTGAAGAGTTCCCTGTAAATTTCTTCTGTCTTCCCAGTCAATAGCGCATAGACTAGTGGAAAACTCTGAAAGTAAAAAAAAATACAGTTTTTGCTTTAACTACTTTGGTAAAATTACTACTAAAGTTAGATAAGATTGGTTTATTTAAAATTGTGCTATTTGTGACCAATATTATATCTACATATGTAACCTTTGTGCATTGGTTAAGTATAATAAACTTTTAAGTACAGGGAGTATACAAATTATATTAATTATGTTTACTTAAACATTATTACATATTTTACACATCACTCGGAAAGTAATAAGCTGGTAGCAATCGTTATCTGCGGTTTTCGGGGGCTGTCTTAAATGTTCCATCAGATCCAGCTATTGTTACCTAGGAAAATATAAAATTTAAAAAAAGTTAAGTAATATTTTAGTAGACAATATTTTTGTCATACATATGTGAGTTCTTCCGCAATTTCTTCCAAGTAGGCTGTGTTGCAAAATAATAGTCCCGCAAATACTCCATTCACCATAAGCGGTCCTTGATCTCAAAACAAATCAGTTAGCGGCAATTAGTGTTTGTGTGCGTCGCGTTTTGGCATTCCTAACGCGATCGTCCTGTGGACGTAACTCACGGGTTGGGGTTAAATAAATAAGTTCAACACGGGGTTGTGGCGGAAACATAATATATTATTCGACCACGCAATATATAAGTTATATTAATAAGTTAAAGTTAAGATTTACAAAACGCGGACGGATCCGGAATGATCGAGCTAGCGGGCTAGTCGTGGGGATGTCGCTAGAAGTCAAGTCGGAATAGAGCGTCGAATTAACTCTAGGTGATACGAGGGCGGACGGAATACGTTGGGAAACGGTAAGTCGTCAATCGCTCGTCGTATCGGGAAGTGATTAGCTACCCATTATATTCACCGCGCTATGTCGCACAGTGGTAAAAATAGCTAATCTAGGTGGACATTGCCCATAACTTCTATAAAATAGTCTAAATCACTTGAAAGTTTGTGAGTGTCTTCTTAATATACTTATCGTTACTTGTGTATAATCTTTATTATTATGTGGTAATGGTTAAACGACAAAAATCAAATAAAAAGAATATTTTGTTTATTTTTAAAAAATAACATACGTTCTACATAAATGTAGAATAATATAGAATATTTTAAAATAAACAAAGAATATTTTTTTATTTACAAAATGTATTAAATATTTTGTTAAATTTTATTTTGTTTTGTTAAAAACAAAACGTATATATCTATTAATTTAAAATCTAAATAGAAAGGAAGAAGAAAAAATCAAAATTTTTTTTACCAACTTCCTACTTAAATGTTCCATTTCTAGGGACTCGGAATAGTCATTAGATCTACTACCAGAGCTAAATGGCTCTAATAGTAGATCTAATAATTCATCCGGGAAACATTTATCTTGGTAATTCAAATTTGCACTATCATTTGCCAATGTTGAAATGTATGCAGTATGGGTCCGATGAATTAAGGAGGGTGTAGAACAAGTCTTTCATCGTACTTTTTCGGCTGATTTTTCTGGTATGCTCTCTTCTGAATCTTCTCAAATCCTTATTTCTTTCGAGGGCTTCTTCGGACATCATTCCAATTGCCATGGAACACGAATCTATTATTTCATGTGCGTGAATTAATAACTCTCTCTTCGTGTTAAGCTGAAAAACGATCAACATTGATAGCGAACTACTAGAGATAGCCTGAAGATTAATGCTGAACCTTTTCAGCAATTCTTCGTTAATTCCTGTTATCGCTGCGACAAGAGTATAATCTTCAAAAAAACGAGCTGCTGTGTTCCCATCGTTAGTTGTTCCAAAGCCTTGTTTCACAACACCGACAAGCAATCCGGTTTTTTCCCGCAACTGTCTTTGTACATCACTTTTGGTTTTCTCGAAAATTTCCAAATCGATTGAATCTTTTTTGTGAATTCGTCATTTGAGTATTTGTAGCTGATAAGCAATACTCAAAAACATCTCAAGGCAACAAAT